GACAGTTACACAACATTAAGTATAAAATGTCACTGAATTATATACTTCAAAATAGTTAAAATGGTAACATTTCTGTTATGTATATTTTACTACAATTAAAAAAATAAAAATTTAAAAATTCATTAAAAAAAAATAAAACAACTAGGCTTCATCCAGAGGCCTGTGTTGAACTTCCACACAGGAGAGAAGGCCCTAAATTTTCAAATGCCATGGAAGGGAAAGCAGACAGTGACTTCAAATAGGAGGCCCCAGGTGTCACAAAGGGTGATGCTCAGTGGGCGGCCGTGCCAGGCTTTCGAGCTGATTTTCATAGGGGTACCTCTGTGTCAGATACTCTAGGGTGAGGGCAGCAGGAAACAGGTCCATTTGATGATGGTCAGTGACTCTCCCAAGAGGCCCTTTGGGAGGAGGTAGGTGCCTGGAAGAACTATGAGCCCCTTTGGGGGTAAGGGTGGGAACCCTTGCTACAAGTCAGGTCTAACCATCATCCCCTTCTTCTGGGGCATTGGGACTACTCTGGGTGTCCCCTAACAGGGATACATGAGGACTTGGGAAGTACCACAGGGCCCCACTGGCTCTGAAAAGAGTAGCTTAAGCCAAAGGAGGTCAAACATGGGCTAGACCGGAAGTATCTATACTCAAAAGGCCAAGGGGAGCGGTGCCAACTCAGGTGGGTGTGACTAAGGTATAACATCCTTATATGTCCCCTGCTAGCAATGTTAACATGCTGATGATGACAGGAGGCAGGGGCTTTGAGGAACAATGGGTCCTGTACAGGCTGAGGGATGAATGAGTCATGTGAGCTCTCCCAGGCTTCATACATTCCCAAAGCTCCACTCCTCACGTTTCCTGCCACAGACAAATACTACCTGTACTATCATTAATGTTTTTATGTTAACCTACTCTTTCTAGTTAAATAAATATATCTAAAAAAGGAAGTTGATATTATTACTAAGAATGGAAAGCCAATACTTACTGCTATATAACAAAGGTAACATTAAAAATGAAATAGGTATATCCATAAATCAAAAATAAACAACAAAAATGCAATAAAAAAGAATGAGCTACTACATGCAAAACAGATGAATCTCAAAAATTATATTGAGCAAAAGAAGGCAGACACAAAAGACTGCATGCACTTATGTGAACTTCTAGAACAGGCAAAATTAATTGATCGTGTAAGAAATCAGAATACTACTGACTGCTGGAGTGGCCACCTTGACTGGGGCACGAGGGAGCCCTCTGGGGCACTGGAAATGTGTTCTATTGTGATCTAGGTGGGTATACAGATGTACACTATAAACTTCATCAAGTGTATGTACACTTAAGATGTGTGCATTTTATGTAAGTTTTACCTTAAAAGAGTAAAAAACAATATATAGTATATTTGAATATAAAACAGTAACAAAACTAGATCATTAAGTTCACCTAGATACTGTTGCCTGCTGAAGACGCTCATGTTTGTGAAAAGGGAAACGTGCAGGTATTAGAGAGGCGTTAAAGACCTACCAGCCCCCAGAGAGACTTCCCCTGGTGAGGCCAGGACCGAGTCTGTCTTCTTTACCATGGTATCCCCAGCAGGAGCCATAGTGCCCAAAAAAGACCTGGTTCTCACAAACAGATGCCGAATAAGTGAATGAATGCAGAGATGGAAAGCTGCAGGCTGATGGCTTATATGTGAGTCTTAGGGCTGTGCTGATGCCAACTGGGTGTCCCCCTGGTCCCCGCTAATGCAACTCCCCATCCCCTCACCCCCCCAATCCCCGCCCCAGTCCCAGGGAACCATACCTCAAGGAAGTCATCGCCCTCATTGGGCAAAACCTTGCCCTGCCGCCAACGCTTGAGGAACCACCTCAGCTTCATGAATAACAGCAGGAAGTTGTGCTTGAACTGCTGGGATTCCTGCACCATCATGTTCTTCTCCTGGCTCCAGAATTTCTGCTCCAGCCTTCGCTGGAGGCTAAGACTCTGCAGCTCAAACTCCCGCCTCAGGAGCGCCCTCTGCTGGTCTTCCTTCAGCTACGAGGTGGACAGGAGCGTGAGCAACCCCAGCTGTCTTTCCGTGCACCACCCCACCGCACCCCATTCCAGGCTTCCGACAAGGGCAGAGAGGAAAATCTGGATGGTGCTTGTTGGTGATCCCTGCCAGGGATTCCACCACGAGCAGCTCATTCTGTTGAGATAAACACTGCCCTCTGCTACTCCAGGGAACAGAAACTCATAAAAGCAGCAGCATAGTTACTGAATCAGTGAAGACAGCTGGGATTTGAACCCAGGTCTGCCTGATTATTAGAAACCATGACATCATATAATAAGCATGTACTGGGTGCCAATGATTCACATGAACTTCTCACATTTAATGAGGAACCTGGGAGGGCGAGCAGTGAAGGCAGGGAGGGGTGACCCACGAGAGAGAGCAAAGGGCATGCTGGGAGTGAGGAAGGCTGAGAACATGTAGTACTCTAGGAAGCAATGCTGTGTCATGGTCAAGAAGGAGCCAGACCTGAATTAGAATCCCAGCCCCACCTCGACTGGATGTGCAACTCTGGGCAAAGCACTACAGCTCTCTGGGCATCAATTTCCCCATCTGTAAAATGGGGACATCTCATGGGGAAAGATATGAGGATTAAAGGACAGACATAACGTGTGGAAAGTATGGTGCACAGGCCTGACATACAGAAAGGGCTTAAAAAATACTTCCTATTAGCGAGACTACCAGCTTGATTACCAGGCAGACCTATGGCCTTTTGGCTACATGTTTTTCAGCTCTGGTGGAGGTAGTATTTCATAGATGGGAAATTGAGGCCCAGAGAGGAAATGGGATTGGCCAGAAGTCACATAGGCAGTCAACGACAAGCTCAGGATTCCCCCTGCCTGCCTAGCACAATAATGCATAATCTCATGAGCAGTAACACCTCACAACCACAAGTGCAGCACAGGGCAGGAAGACTCGGGTTTCTCCTGCCGCTCTTGCCTTCTGAAGATCCCTGGACCTCTGTTCAGGGAAGAGAGGTTGGAGTAGGTATAGGGAGGGCACTGGGCACCACGCACCTGGACCATTTTCTGGTTGAAGCTGTCGGCCTCTTCCTTCCGTAGCTGCCGCTCCTGGGACAGCTGTTCTTGCAAGCCCCGGAGGCTGTCATGGGCCTCAGCCAGCACCAGCTGCAGCTCCTTGATCTGGGTAGGGATGAGGGGCACAGATAAAGAGGATAGAAGCTATGGTCAAAGGACGAGAGTGGTAGGGAAGCAGAAGTCAGACCCAAGGTGTCCTTCAAATACATATCAGGCACAATGGCTGTCCCTACCGCAGCGGGTTGTGACGATGATTAAATAAAACAGTGCACATCAAACCTAGCTATTATAATTTTAATTTGATAATTTCTCTCTTTGAAATTTATCTGAAGAAAATAATATACTGTGGAAATTAAATTTGATTCTCAGAGATGTTCATTGCCTCATTGTTTATAATTGCAAAAATTTATAAACAACTTAGTTAATAATGATGGAGGTCTATATGTTTAATGGGTCTACACGTATGTAAAAATCCATTCAACCATACACGTAAGGACAGTGTCTTTTATTGTATGTATATTATGTTATACTTCAATAAAAAGTTTAAAACATGTACATATCTCAATGGAAAAATGTGAAGGTCATAGATACACACATACAAAATGTGAATTATGTGATAATCTTGTGATCTTGACTTTCGTCTTCATATCTTTATGCAATGCTGCTTAGGGATTTTGTTGAAGTTATTTGTTGTTTAATGACTACGTAATAAAATCTTAAGAAAAAGACAACAAAACCCTATTTTTCAAGGGAAATTGTGTTAAAAGCTATCTGTAGCTAAATAGGCAAAACTAATCTACTGTGTTAGAAGTCAGGATGGTGCTAGTTTATTCATCTGCTTGCTGATTACACAGGCGTGTACTATTTGTGAAAATTATCTGAGCTGTACACTTACTTACAAGTGCTTTTCTGTATGTATGTTATACTTCAATTTAAAAAGTTTTAAGGTATTTCTAGGAACAGATAGAAATTTTGATGCTGTCATGTTAACCACAAAGATAAAAAAGGAAATGTTGACTCTAACTCTTAACATAAAACTTTCCCAGGCATGGCAAGATGTCCCTCTATGAAGGAAAAAATGAAACAAAACCATTTATTATCTGGCCAATAATGTGGAAATTTGGCAGGGGAAGGTACTCTAACTTGAGATGTATCTTATATGCCCATTTTGCAGGGCTAGATCTGCCATCTCTGGTGTTCTCCTTGAACTCAGTACCTGACATGGTGCCTAGAAAACTGTAACTGCTCAATAAAGAGTGGCTGAATGAAACGATAATTGAATGCATACAGGAAATTATTTTCTCTGCAGGTGAGCTGGCCTATTTCCTTTTCTCAGAAAATTAGAACTATGTATCTCGTAGTTTTCCCCGCTTTTGCTTTGGCTGCTAGGAAACTGAGACCACTCAGAGAGTGTGATCCATTAGCTTTACAGGAGTTACTCCCCCTGTACAGTAGCTGACCAGCCTTCCTGGGACCACAAAGTTGCCTTCCTAGAGATGCTCAAAAGAAAAGGGTGCTCAGGCTGGGGCACACATAGGGCTCTCCATGATTCAGAAATCTCAGGGAGCCCCAACCAGTCCATAGGAGCCTTTTTCCTGCTTCAGGTTCATTATGCAGTGCTACGGGGAGGCTCAGTAGGCCTGGGAGGGGCTCAGAACTACCCAGAATTCCTCGAGGACCAGAGAATCCTAACAATTCCACAGCCACCACTGACTCCAATCTTCCCAAGTTACAGATGGAGAAGCTGCAGTTAGAGTGAGAATGTGCCTAAGGCCACACAGCCATACTGGTGGGTCCTCTGAGGCCCAGTGATGTGTCATCATTCTCTTCATCCTCATCCAACATGGACCAGGCACAAACTAAGGCTTTTCATGTATTTAATCCTTTCGACAACGCTATAAGAGATCACTTTTATTTTAAAGGTGAAAAACTGAGAGGTAAAGAGAGGTAAAGTGACTTATAGCCAGTATATAGTGAACACACGATTTAAACCCAGTCATCCTGCTGCCTTCCTGCTATATAAATTAATGGCTCCATTAAATAATATAAATTATTGAATTCCCAGTGAAATTTAATATAGGAAAAAAATCAATTTTTTCAAAACAGTTTATAAGCATCCTTTTATCGAGCCAGGAAAACAGCTTAGATTTCCTTGTTTTCCTTTTTGTCCTGGCTTCCAGGAAGCTTGAAGCCAAATGCAATACTCAAAACCCGTATCATCACCAGCTAAGATTCCCCATGGATCACTCTGCTTTGGGGAAGTCCCAGCCACTGTCCTCCTACCCACCCCCCTGCTTACTTAGGCCTAGGCCCACCTCAGAGGCGTAGGAATCATTGTCTTCAGCTCGGTAAGGCCTGAAGCTCCGGCTGGGGTCAGGCTTGGAATCCAAGTCACCAGTACGGAAGGCCTCTCGTATCCTGGGCTCCCATTCCGGCAGGTCCCTGAAGTCAGGTGGCTGTACCCAGAGGCACAGGCAGAAAAGACCAAAGATAACCATGGGGAGGGGCCTGATGGTTGCCAGAAACAGCCCCATCCCAGGCCTCCGAGTTCTGTAAAGGCTCTGATCACGTATCTGAGGGCTGGGACCCATGTGGACTCACTTCTGTAGCCCAGACCCAGCCCTGGTGAGGGCATTGCAACCACTCAATGAATGTTTGTTGAAAGGATGAATAACTAGGTAAGTGGTAAGTGAAAACACTGATTCTGTGAATGTCTGTCTTGTACACAAACCTCTGAGTCAGCCTCTACTGTCTTGCCACATGTGCAGCCCCAGCTCATTTATACCTCAACAGGAACCAAGACAGTGACCTAACATGGGAGAGTCTGCTTGCTTAAAAAAGCAAGATCAAGCCAGATCGACAGGGCACTGGTTAAAGAAACAGTGGCACAACCACATTGTGTAGTTGTGAAAAAGGAAGAGCTAAATCTCTGTATAGACATGGAAAGCCCTCTCCCGCTGAGGACCTTCCCGATAGTCTCTGCAGTCCAGCTTCACTCCTTCTCTTAGTTCCTGGACACGCGACGTTCCTTCCGGCCATGATGGCCTTCGTACAGGCTGTCCCTCTGCTTAGGACATTCTTCCCCTAGTAATCCATCCTTCTGATCTCAGTTCAGATCAGAGGCCTCCCCTGATCCAGGGTCTAGGTCAAGTTCCTTGTTCATAGAACCAAGGAGAGTTCCTTGAGAGCCCTCATCTCAGTGTGTAATTTCACATTCATTGGTATATTTTGACTAACATCTCTCTTCCCCACTATATGATATGGGCTGGGGGACAGGACTCATGTCTGTTTGTTCTTACTGTGGCACCTCCAGCACTGAGCACGAAAAGTATATGAACAATAAATCCAGCATCATAAGTAAATGAACAAATAAATATATATGACATGGGAAAAATAAGTTGTGTGGCAATAGTAGGTATAACATAAGACAATTTGGGTGAAGAAACAAATATATGAGAATATAGTAGAGAAAGATCTAAAAGGACATGCTGTGATGATGTAATAGTCTAGATCTGCACCGTTTGACACATACAGCTACTGAGCACTTGAAATGTGACTACTGTGACCAAAGAACTGAATTTTCAATTGTATGTGATTTTTATTAATTTAAATTTAAGTAGCCACATGTGGCTAGTGGCCACTGCAACAGCCAGCACTGCTCTGGTCTATTACAAGTTGTACCTGTAGGGAGTGAGAAGCAGTGCGGAGGAGGCTTTTACCTCAGACAGTCCTGAAACTCTTTGAAGGTTTATAGATTACTTTGGCAATAATGCTTTTTTTTGGTGGTGGTGGGGGGGCAGATACATTTGCTGTTTTAATTTTTTCTAAGTAGTATTTTATAGACATCAAGGCTGGAAGTTCATTATCTTTAGAAAGCCAAGTTTCTTGCCTTTGCATAGGACCTGAATGAAAGTCCTTTTTTTAAAAAAAATACTTTTAAAATACAAAACTGTGAAAGAAACAAAAATAGAAGGAAGGACAATATGGCAAAAAGATAGGGCCTCATCAAAAAGATATGGCAAAAATCAGCCCCTGTATCTATCAATAGAGGAAGGGCAATATGGCAAAAAGATATCCTCATCAAAAGGATATGGCAAAAATCAGCCCCTGTATCTATCAATAGTAAATGAGTAAGTGAATTGTGGCATATTCATTCAATGAGATCGTATCTGGGAATGAGAATGAACAAACTATTGCCACATGTGACAACAAACATAATGATAGGTGAAGGAAGCCTGGTACAGGGTGTACTGTATTTATACGAAGTTTATAGACAGACCAAACTGAATCAAGAGGTTACCCATGGGAGTGGGCATTGTGTCCAGCAGGGGGCATGAGGAGGGGCTTCTGGGGTACTAGTCATGCTCCAGTTTTTGTTCTGGGTGAAGATTACACGAATCTGTTTGCCTTGGGGAAAGTCTAAGCTCTCCACCTGTGCTTTGTGTAATATCAGTAAAGTTTCTATCAAAGAAAAAAAAAGTAACAAGGTCTGTGACAGGGAAATCTTACCTGGAAATCTGAGCCAAGGTCTTTGGCTAAAAGAATCTCCTTGGAGGGCCCCTGGGAGCCCAAGGGGGGCAGTGATGAGAAGGGCTCCGGGGGCTCCTTGGCAGAGCTCCCGAGGACCGCGTCTGCCTTGCGCGTGAAGGCGTTGAGCTCCTGCTGGAGCATGCTCAGCCGCACCAGGATAGCATGGATGAGCTTGGTGTCCGTGGGGCCCTCGCTGTTGTCCGGGGCCTCATGCAGCCGAAAGTCAGCACACTCGTTGTCCAGATATAGGCGGAGGCCAGCTGAGAAGCCATTGGCATCAGCCACCAGGACGTCGATGGCCTTGCTGACCAGGGCAGCCTGTTCCCTCAGCCCAGGCAGCACCTCGGCCTCCCTGGCTCTGCAGAGCCGGGTGGCATGGGGACCATGGGTCTCGCCGAGGGCAGCAGGCACGCACTGGGCAGAGTCTCCCGCCTCGGCATCTGTCTCCAGCATGGGCCGCGTGCTCTGGCAGGAGGCAAGATCACAACGCTGGAGGTTGGACAGAAGCACGCGGTTCTCGTACTGGAGCTTCTTGACCTTGCCGCTGAGCTCGCCGATCTGCAGTTTGGCAGCCGCCAGCTCCTCCTGCGAGGGCTCGCTGAGCACGGAGCAGCTATCCTCCGACAGCGTCACATCCAGCTCATGCTCTGAGCGGTACTTGGCCAGCTCGCTCAGCAGCAGCTTGTTCTGATCCTCCAGTTCCGCTGAGGAGCGCCGCAGGAGTTCTGCCTCCTCCTCCACGAACTGCAGGTGTCGCCGCAGCTCCGCCAAGCTCTCCCCGCACTCACTGCCACCCAGCGCCGAGAAGGCCAGGCGTGCCTCTGGGCCCCCGCCCCCGCCCCCATGATCCTTCATGTCGTCCATCTCAGCCCGCAGGCCCCGGTTCTCCACCTCCAGCTCCACGATGCGGCGGCTCAGCAGGTTGGCCTCCTCCTCCACCAGCTTCAGATGCACCTTCAGCTCGGTCTCCCGCGAGTGCGGTGCATCCGCCAGCTCCTCCGCCGACAGGGCGCTGTCCAGATCGCCGTAGAGGGAGCGGTACTTGAGCAGCTCCTCCTTCATGCTGTCGTTCTCCTTGGCGAGCTTAGTAAGCTTCTTGCACATGAGGGCCGACTCCTCCTTTGCAAAGTGCAGCTGGCACTTCAGGTCTGCACTGTCCTCCTGGGGCCAGATGGGCACAGGGACAGACAAGAACAAGGAAGGTTAGTGTTGGGAGGCTCAATACCAGCCACAGCACTTCAGGAAGCACTACCTATGTCCTGGGGACACAGGAATAAAGCAGACACAGCCCTGACCCTCAAGGAGCTGGCGATCCAGAAGGGAAGCAGAGGGGGAGACAATACAGCAGCAAGGATGGAGCACCACACGTCCCTTGAGGAGTCCAGGAGGGCTTCCTGGAGTAGGCAATGTTCTGCCAAGGTGACTATTGATTCTACTACCACTACTATCATTACTACTATAGTTTCCTCACCTGTAAAATGGGGGCAGTAATACTCCTTCCCTCACAGAGTCATGGAGAGGATCAAGTGAGATAATGTATGAAAAGTATCTGGCACCTTGACAAGCCAGGACCACTAGAAACTAATTGTATTTTATGCCTGGCCTGTGATACATATAGCATTTTATCTTTCTAGTGTGTGGCAACCACGGGCTCAGGGTATAGTTTTAGGAAGTAAAGTGGGCAACGAGGCTAAGAAAATGAACAAGGGGAGGATGGGGTAGAAGCTGGGGAGGGGCAGACACCTCTGGAGACCCCCCTCCCCAGGCCACATGGAGTTAGGCTTTGAGCCTTAAGACTAAAATCTGGAAGTGAGGCTACACTGGGGGTTGTGGGGGCTGCCAGGAAGTACCTGCATCGAAGGCTTCTTGTCTGTCTTCCCCAGGGAGCGAGTTCCTCTTTTCTTCAAGGAATGCTGGAGGGAGATTAAAAAACATCAGAACTGAAAGCTCATGAGGGTGATGTGCCTCCAAAGAGCAGTCACAGAGCCTAAGGATCCACTGAGGACTCCTTCACCCCAGCCCAACCCAGCCATGTCCAGACCTTAACCAGCACCAACTGTTGAGCCAGAAGGGCCCTCGAGACCACCCAGGGGGCTGACAATGGGGGACAGGCCAGAAGCACTTGAGATGATTCTGAATACGCCTGTTCAGGGTGCCTCCCCTCTCTCCCAGCTCCACACTGTGATCCAGCTGGCCTAGGCCAAGCCCAGAAATCTAGGTTTCCATTCTTATCTTTCATTCATTCACCAAAGAATTCCTGAGTGCCTATGATGTGCCAGGCACAGTTAGGTGCAAAGAACACAGTAAGAACCAAGACAGAGAGGGTACTTGGGGAAAATGCTATGGAGCTCTGCTCAGATCCCCCCTTTAGGACGGGGACACGTATTCCCCAGCTAAGACCTTGAAGCTGAGTCCCCCTCCAAGCGATGCCCATTGGCTGAGGGCAGCCTACATACAAAGACTGATCCATGCTCACCTGCCTCAACTTGTGACAACTCTAAAGGGCCATCCCAGCTCCTGAGCTCCCCATGGGATCAGCTGAGCCACTGGTGTGACAGCTCCACACCCCAACTTCTCCCTTGCTCCCTGATGGCGTTATTCCCAAGGGGTCTCTTCCAATAGCCTCTGCATGCAAATCTCTGTCTCAGAGGAAATCCTGTCGTCATGGAACTGGCATTTAGTGGGGACTTTAATTCAGAATGAATAACTATTGATGCAACAAATCATAATTACACAGGAGGGTTGGAAATGATGAGTGACCACAATTTAAATTGTAAAAGTTTGCCTGCAGAGTAAAGCAAAATAAGACTATAACAATAACCATGGTTCGAAAATCCAGAAAGCTGATACAATTGATCAGATAAGCAAATTCTACATGGAAAAAGTACACTTTAAGAAAAGTAAAGCTATAAATGACAAACTGGGAAAAATATCTGCAATTTGTAACACTGACAAAGGGTTAATATCTTAAATATGTAAAGAGCTTTGGAAAATACAGAATAAAAAAGCCAACAAACCTATAGAAAAATGGGGTAGAGATATGAAAAACAGTTCACAGGAAAAGAAAGGTAAATGGCTCCTAACCATAGGAAAATGCTTAACCCTGTTCATGATAGAGAAATGCAAATTCAAGCTACACTGAGATACCATTTCTCACCTATCAGTTTGGCAAAACTCCAAACATCTCACAACATATTCTACTGAAGCTATAGAGAAACAGGAACACTCATATGTATATCTCTGGCAAGAATGCAAAATGGTACAAGCCCTACAGGGGAATTTGAGGAAAGATTACGACAGCCATTACTGAAGTTTTTCAATGTTTAAAAAAGTCATTCAATTAGATGCATGATTCCACTGAACACTTCTTCCCATGAGAGGGGCGATTCATGTTAGTAGTGTATAAAACCACACTTAGGTTGCTTCCGACCTTTCAAGTTGGGCAGGTATTTTTTTAGAATGCTCGGGTGTGGTCTGAATACATGCCCTCCTCACCCCCCACCTCTCACATCCCATATCCCTCAAGGGGAGAACCACTGATCTAATCCAAGACTCCCCACCCCCCTTGCCCCTATACTGAAGGCGAGAAAGAGGTCTCACAGCAAATCCATAGCTGACCTGGGACCTGTTCTTGACACAGGTCTAGATCTAGTTCCAAAGACCTGGATGGAGAAAATGTGCCTTCTTTGACGAGGGACACAGTAGAGGTAGCCCCGTAGTTCTCAATCTGGGTACACATCAGAATTACCTAGGGAACTCAAAATAAAAATACCAATGCCCAAGGTCCCACCTCTGCAGATTCTGATATAATTGGTCCAGGGTTGATCGCAGGCATCAGTATTTTTAAATAGCTTCCCAGGTGATTCTACTGTGCAGCCCAGGTAGGAACCACAAAGTCAGGAAGATGAACTCCAGGTGGGCTCTTAAGTATATCTGAAAGCACAATCAAATCCTAAAAAGAGACATTTTGAAATGCAAATAAGGCAGGAGGCAGAAGCTGATATTTCAGTTGCTGGGTACCAAGGGCAGGGAGCTAGAATTTGAGAAAGGCTGACCTCGGATCTTTCAAAATAGAGGAGGAAAGAGTAGGATATAGGGTGTGGGGCACAAAACAAGTCCCCCTGCAAAGATCCCCTCTCACAAATGGAGTCCGGTTAGAGCGTGAACAGAGGGAGACCCCCACATGGAGTGGTTGAGGTGAGGGCTCTGGGTTGCAGATCTGAGCTTGCTTATCAACAAGCTGAGTGGGAGGGGCCATGAAGCTGAACTCTAAGAACCCCACAACACTGAGTTTATGATCCTGAGTGAAACCCTTCCTCTCCCTGAAATTCCACTTTATCATCTATAAAACTGAGCCATAGACTAGATGACGATAGCTTCTTCAAGCACTGCAGACTCCCTGGAGGAAGTGGGGTGACAGGAAGTGGATCCAGGGGTCTCCAAAGGCACTGAAAGGTCCCGGCCATCACGTATAAAGGAATGAGATAGTATAAAGCCTAAAGCCATTAAAAAGGACAGAGGGAGCGTGAGATTCACTGCCATGGTAAAGTCTCTGAGACACTTTGTAAGAAAAAGAAGAAACCTGCAAAGCAAAACCTACAAACCAAATAATTGTCCACCAACTGCTGAATGAATAAACAAAATGCGGCATATCCACATGAGGGAATATCATTCAGCCACAGAAAAGCATGAAGTACTGACACATGCTACGACATGGATGTACCTTGGAAACATTATGCTAAGTGAAAGAAGCCAGTCACAAAAGGCCACATAGACGATTCCACTGACACGAAATGTCTGGAATAGGCCAATCCACAAAAGCAGAAAGTAGGTTGATGAGTGGCTGCCAGCGGGGGAACGCAGAGTGACTATGATGGGTTCGAGTTTCTTTTTTGGGGTGATGAAAATGTGCTGGAATTAGAGAGTGGTGATGGTTGTACGACTCTGAATATTCTAAAAACCACTGAACTGTATACTTTAGAAAAGGCAAACTTTATGGTATGTAAATTACACCTCAATAAAGCTGTTATTTTTTAAAAAGAAAGCATGTTACCATTTTTATAAAAATAAGATGTGTGTGTGTGTTTGCACATGCACACATGGGCATGAGGGGGAGACAGCTGAAGGATATACATACACGAGCCTGTTAACGACGAGAATACAAAAAAAACAATGAGAATACAGGGAACTTGCACTTTTCTTCCTTAATTTTTTTTTTTTTTTTTTGGAGGGAGGACATATTCCTCCAGCAATTTTTTTCTTAAAAATTTTTTTATTACGCAATATTTAAAAAAATTAATACACAAAAATACATTCTCACTGTAAATCTATACCATGCCGAGAAAGAGAAGTTCCCCTGTCCCCTATTTACACCCCACTTATTCTCCTTCCAACCTGAGGGTGACCACAGCTGATGGGCAGCTGGAGCTCCTTCTAGACCTTTGGTTCTGTGTTTAAAATACTGAAATAGATGGTGCTCTTTTAGACTTTCTTGTCTTCCTATGCTTACTTGACTCTGTGATCTTTGATTTATATAATAAGCACCTTAGGCAAAAGAAAACCCCAAACATCCAGCGTTATAAAAAACAGTCTGTGTTCATGCTACATTCTTTTGTATGTGACAGAAACTGTGTATATAATACAATCCCATTTTTATTTTTAAAAATACAAAGAGAGAAATATGCAGTGTATGAGCAGAAAGAAAGGCCCAGAAACATACAAACCACACTGTAATCATGGGTTAGGCTGAGTCAGGAGTAGACTTGAGGGAGGTGGTGAGGGGAGGCGTTCTTTTCTTTTATGTATGGTTATTATTTCTATTATTTTTTTGAATAACACACTCACATGATTCAAACTTCAAAGAGTACAAAAGGAATACAGTGAACTCCTCACCAGTTCTCCTGCCTGAGGCAACCAATGCCATCAGAGGCTGATGTATACATCCACAGAGCTATGCCAGGCATGCCTTTGTATGTACTTTCGTAATGAGTGTTTTGCTTCACTGAGCTTACATTACTTTTTTGATTAAATAATGCACATATACATATACATTTCAATATGCGTAAGTGTATAAATAGAAAAACTGTACCGGAAATACATATATCCCTCACTCAAACAGTAATTTGATAATTGCGCAGAGTAATTCCCTCTGAATATTGGATTACAGGTGCATTTTTTCTCCTTATGGTTTACATACTTGCATTTTCTAGTCTTTCTCTACTGAGCACAGTTTACTTGTTAGGTAGAGGGAGAAAGGTCACAGTAAAATATTTTTAAAATGTACTCGCCCCAAGAAAAGTCACTGAACACCTTCCAACAGGCAGACGGTGAGCTATGAATGGCTTGAATCTCACCAGAAAGGGAAGGCAGTGGGCCGAGAAGAGGGGCCGAAGCAGCAAACCTTTTCAGGACCAGAGTGGTTCCAGCCTTTTAGGGTTGGAACTGCCCCTTCCCCCACCTCGTCAATGTGGGCTCCCACACTGCCCTTCAGCTCTGGAGGGAAAACAAGGCAGACTCACAAAGCATAGACCTTTCTCCACTCTGTAGGGCAGGAGCTGGCCAGGCGGCCTGGGGGCTGTGGTGCCCCTCAAGGGGCCAAGGTCTATCAGAGCCTCTTTGTGGAGCCCCCAGGAGCAGATGTTCTGGCTCTGGGCCTTGGGAGGGTGGGACAGGGCAGGGCGCGACAGTGCCCGGGCACCAACAGGAA